CGCAGGTATGGTTCAAGCTCCGAGGCTCCATCCTCCCGTCCGTCGGCCCGAATATCATACACTTTACCACCACTCAGAAATTCACCCCGCTTCCGTATAGCCTACCGAACGGCGAACAAGCATATCAAAGTCCGGTGCAAGAAACCCGCGAACCAGGAACCAGATCCATCACCGGATTCACGATAAATTTCCGGCACGACGAGACAGCAAGAGTTCTAGAACTCTAGGGAAAATCAAACAGCTGCAAGTTTGTGGCGTTCCGATGGTGAGCGCAAGTTACCTCCTACATCCATCATACGTCGTTGCTTGCTTTCGTAGGTGCTAATAATAATATGTAGTTATTGATAGACCTATGATAATTTCCGTTCAATTATTGGATGTGCCCATACCATACGTAAAGTAATGAAACAAAGCAAGGTGGGATAAACATTACCCCTCCCCTCCCCCTTCATTTTCCTTTTCTAGAGCACGCCCATGGATTCCCCTCCAAAGAAAATAAAAAAAAACGCTCAGATCTCTCCCTGTCTCCTCCTATCACCATGCTCCGTGCGCAGAACGTGAACGCGAACCAAAACCACATGGAACCAGTTGCATGTAGTCCGTGCATTCCTAAATTCCGGATTTTCTGGAGATGAGACCCGGTACGGGGGCATGACGGGAATTAACGGGCTGACGACAAAAAAAAAGTAGTCTAGCAACTCTGTTAAAGTTAGACAACTTTTAATTACTTATGAACGCGAACCAAAGAACCACAGAACCATAGAACCAAACCAGCCGTAGATCCGGAAGCCACGGCCATGCACAATTGTTAAAACCCCCGGACTTCAATGCACTGCACGTCTATGTACGCACTCCTTAGTCCCCGGAGCGAAGGGTCCGTGTGGCGGCCCGCGATGGGTGGAACAGCTTGGTAGTTGTGATGGTGGTTGTGCTGGTGGTCCACAAGGTAGAAGCCCGAATACCCGCGGCCGGGCGGACGGCGAAGGTCATTGCTTTCCCGACGTGGGACGCCCGTGGTAGGCCAAGGTCTCGGATGCGATGGTTCGGACAGCTAGGAAGGACCTCCATGGGGGTTTACGGGCGCGGGGTAGATAGGAACCTGAGATGAGGGGCGGCGGGCTGTGAGTTCTCTGTCGCGTCATGACCTTGTCAAAGCACCGGCGTTGAAGGCTTCGGAAATTCGAGATTGAAACATGAAGTGATCTGACAAGGGCTTAATTTTGCCGCGAGATGCGCGTGGACCGGGCGTTTGTGGTATGTATGTATAAATGTATGTAATCTCGATCGTAACCGTATGTAGCTGAAGAATCGAAGCTACTTCGATCATCGGAAGCCGGGATGATTTTCGGCCTGGAACATAATAAGCTGCTGACTCGGTGAGCTTCGGACTTTCATGGTGTTGATATATATGCAAGGAGAAAGATGTGGCGCAAATGTTCCAGAAAGAATTCAGCACTGCGGGTGTGGAGAGACCTCTGCCATTTATATATGCATAAAAACATATTGACAGATGACTCGCAGGAGTTCGTTCCATACCCTTGGGATACAACGGTGCATATGTATGAAACAGCCGTGGAAAATACGGAAGAAACGTGTAGGCATGTAAGCTGAGTAAACGGTTCTGAAAACGTGGAGTCCATACGAGAATAACGGCAAAATATCCGATGTGCATACAGACGCACATGAGTATTACCAGACTATGGCCAAAGTGCATACATGATACCTGGAGTATTACTTATTCCCAAGAGCTATGGAGATTGTAGTTTGATGATAAATCAGAAATACAGACAAAGCTATAATATAGTTTCTAAGACGCCAATCTCAAAAAGCTTCTTTTGCGTTTGATCAAAATAGCGTGGCCTTAAAGTAGAAGAAAACGGTAATCATCAGGTATTAGAAGGACCGTCTCCGGGATTACATCTAAGCACTTGATAAACATCAATAATGACACGGAGATATCACCCTATGTACAACAAACATCACTTCCCCTCGATTATTTGATGACACTGTGGTATCGTGGTCCGTTATACATAACCCTACATTTCCCTAATAGGTGTTTGTTCGGATCGAAATACCTCGGTGTGCAAAACCGGGGGGAGATGCAAGGGAGATAACTGACGTCTTCGGAAGGGATCTTGTATGACATGATATAACTCAAGTTCGGATACCTTACGTAGGAAGCTTCGGTACATAATGCAGAATACTGTGCAGATAGGGAATCTAATTAGGTATGAATGGTCAGGACCGAGGCTCGGAGGGCGGGGGAGGGGTGGTGGAGGGGCATTAATCGTAAGGGGAAATAATTGAAGTCACAGAATATTTCAAATGCAAAAGATGTGAGGTTCAATTTTCGAAAAGTTGTTATCTGTAATCAATTCACACAATCCGGAAGTTACATAGACTGTATTGATAATATCTAGCATTATCGTAGCATACCATCCATCTACAATCTCGATTATCGAGACCATGGGAAACACATGGAAAACACGCGTATGCAACTATCCGTAAGAGTTTCCGATATTTCGTTACGAATATTCCTTCCCGTAAAGAAAGCTCCGCTCTAGTCCGCTATACTCGAAAACATTCCTGCACCAGAACTCGAAATAAAGTGCAGTTTCAGTTCTACCCTTGATTTTAAACTCCTCAACGTCAATCCAATTAATTCAAGGTACCCACTATCAACTCCCCAATATCAAATCTTCTACATATCAAACTTAAACTCAATCCCAATGCAATTTAACACATCCATCAAGCCATCTCCTCAATGTGCAAACCAGTGACCATAAACGCTTCCTAGACCTAGAGTCGACATTACATCTCTGAGCCCTCTTCCTAATCCTACAATTTATCAGTGTATCGCCGGCAAATAGCTTAGATTTAACTCCCGTTAAGCATTACGTATACACGATATCGATAACCATGTGTGGGGAACCTTCGGGAAGAATACAATAGTATATTTCGGCATATAGGTAGATGTAGAATTATACTTTTTTAGCTTGTGGTACCAATTACAATCTAACGGGAGTTGGTATGGTTCAATTACGCATACGCATACCATGACCCCCACACGATATGTACCCCATATTGATACGTCGTTGGAAATTAAAAAAGTTATGAGTATTGTATATGCTGTTTTTTTTTCAACTTCTGCCCCGGCCCCTAGCTTGGTGCTGATATAACGTAGTAAGGAATTTGGATGGTGATTAATGGTAATAACCCCTGTTTTCCAGAACAAATCATCGTAGTCCAATAATAAAGCCGATACGTTATAAAAATCTTAGATCAGTATACTCAACTTCTAAGTATCCCCGGGGCTCCAAATGAGATGAGATGAGGTACCAAAAAACCAACATAGGATACCCCACGTTATGAGATATCTATCGCCAAAAATAGAAACTCGTGGTAATTTCATGGCAAAAACGTGTTTTCGGATATGCCTGATACCTATACACATGAGATTATTTCCCGTGTTAGGTATCTATCCAAGATCTACTGGGGTTGGTTTATGTATGATGTAGCTTTCCTTTGATCCCTGACTGGTAGCGGTAGTGAGTTTTGGGGGGATAGTTTTGCAAGCTAGTATCTCTAGATATTTATCAAAAAACATAGCTTAGCGTTAATAAATATTCAAAACGCAAGGCCAGGTTTCCTTTATAAAATTGAAAACCACATAGCCTATATACCAATACTCAAAAACACTCTACCGACCTGAAATTGGACTAGGTATAATAATTCATAAGCCATGCTTTTTTAATCTGCAAGAAACCGATGTATGGCACCATATGCGTCACTGTAGAATGACGATAACGTGCGGACCACGCACGCAACACGCGACGCGAGGTATCCACATCATAGAATCTGGATACCTGGATACCTACTTTGTTTATGTGTAAGTATACCTATCGACTTTGACATACGATATGGGTATAGATATTGTTTAGCATAGCATAGCATAGATAGCATAGATCTCAGTCACCCGTCCCACCCCCCACACACCTAAACGGGTATCACAACTTGCGACCCGTTAAAAAAAAATTGCTGGGTATCTATTATCGACATGACCTCACTAGGGGAATTTGGAATTTTCGGATACTTCGGAAACTTTGGAGAATTAGGGGAATCGGTGCATGACAGGTAGGTGTACTTTACAATAAATGCGAAACGTAAGTTACAAGCGTTACACAAGTCATATCTATCTATCGATCTATAAAGTTTTACGCCGGTAGATACACGATACACGAAATCGAAATCGAAATCGGAACCGCTGTTGATGATAGATTTCAATATGGGCTCAGGGGTTATTGATTACCGGTCTCATTGTCTGTAATACAAAAAATACGAAGAAAAACAAGACACTAGACCCAAAAAATAAAACGATATAATTTACATTTAAACCCAAGTATCATTTTCCGTAATCTGGATACTGTAATATCCAATTTTAATCATCTCTTCCCAACAAACCCAAATCATCAGTAACAAACTATCCACATAACCAAACATATACACCGCAATCCACCACCTATCAAATACTCGCATCATGCAGTCAATCAACCCCCTTCCCCCGTCTCAATATCTCATCGTCGCATCTACAACCCCACCAAATCCTAAATCCAAAAGTGCATTTCCAAATTCCGCCCCTCAAACCCGGTATGCATATGCGATTATCAGACTTCCAATATCATTTGTCATCGTCATTATGATTTTTATTAGCAAAGCAAAGTCAAAAATAAAGCCACAAGCGTGATCTGCAAATGTGTGGGGAAATATCCTGGGGAGCAATGTGGTAGGTCATAATAGGTATACCTATGCGAGAGATAGTAATCTGTAATCATCGTAAGCTTCCACGTCGTAAGGGAAACGAGGAATGGTGAGTTGTTTTTTACCTACCCTGGTCCAAAGGTCACGAAGGGGACGAAGTGAAGTGGAGTGAAGAGGCAAAGGCAACGTGAAAAGGCACAATGAAGTGAATCGGAGAATTATTGCGGGCAAAAAAATAATGGCGTCAGCGACAGGGTTCGAACCTGCGCGCTCGAAAGCATGAGATGTCGAGAATCTAATTCAAGTCTCACTCCTTAACCACTCGGACACACTGACTTGCTGTTAAATGTGGGGTAATTAGTAGTATAAATATCCATACTACACTAGTGATTTGGAGCTATTACCCCAGACAGCCGAGGAAAGCTCAGCAAGCTCAAAACGCTCGCTAGTTGGAACTTAAATCGGTTCCATAGGGCATGCTTCACGGAGCATGTTAAGCTGGTTCTCGTAAGCTTAGCGGTCGAGCGGACTACGGACTTAAGCTCTTGAATGGCACACCTAAGCTGCCAGGGTAGGTAGGTTACCACCGGAAGCTGGAGCTGGAGCTGCAGCTTGGGGATGATGTCAACCACGCGCAGGAGAAGGACCCCGCGCGATCATTTCGGAAAGCAAAAGGTTACGTAGGAAGCATATGTAAAAGCTTGTTTCCTGAAAAATAACCCCAGTGACGTAGTTTTCAGGAAGCTAGCTGAAGAATCTGGGAGAATATGTATGTAGGAAACCGATTGCTTTAAGCTGTAAGCTCCAAATATCTCTCATGTCTCCTACGTCATCATATCACAATGGATAGAGCATAGAATAACTTATAGCTGAACCTAGAAAAGAAAATCGCTAAAGAAATTTCGAGCGTTCGGAGATCACAGAATACCGTCAGATAAAAGATAATAGACCCTAAGATAAAGGTCCCTGAAATTAAAGGTAGTAGCAACACGGTAGTTTATGCGAAGTAGATTGGATGCCAAGTATGGGATGGAGAATTTTTCCCCGCACTACCCGCCGTATCTGTATCTATATCTGTACTGTAGATATGGTACCATACTCAACCCAGATCTACGGAACCCGAACCTGAACCCTTAACGACCCTAAAACCCTTAAAGGTACACTAATGGACCAGGACCCTGGCCTACGACCTTCATAAATGTACGTTTTTGGTATGGTGCTCTGTATATAGTGCATGTAGATGCATATAGATGCAGACTTATATGTACAGTAGACAGATAAATATTTACCCCTCATGCTGTGGATGTATACTACAACTATCTACCCTGTCTGAATTTCTGACTGACAATGTGCAGAGAAAAAATAACATCAACCCGAGACTCGAGTTGCGTGTAAGTGGGATAAGAAGAAACTGGCATAGAGCATAATACAGAACATGTAGAAAACCTATAAGATATAAAAAATACCATCACCTTTAACTCTCTTCACTAAGCCACCAAATTCCGTACTTCCCTTATTATACCCCCTCCAACGAATAAACTGTGTACTCCAATTATGGTGCTCTACAGTCACATAAACCAATTTCCCCTCTCTTCTTCCCCTCTTCCCCCCTCTCCCCCTCCCCGTATGTATATATGTAGTCATGAAACCTACCTCGTTTACACCCTGGGAACCCTACATCCTCGCACCCTATCACCCTGTCACCATCATCCGCAACTCCCCCGACACCCCATAACTTCGCATAGGCCTACCATATCCGGGGTGGGTGGGTTGGGGGGGGGGGGGGGGGGGGGGTGGTGGTGTTGGGTGTGTATGTGGGGATAAAAGCAAGAGTCAGTATTCCATTCCCCATCCGAGTACATCAGATTATTAGAAGCGGAAGCGAAGTGGGCGGAGAGCATATCATATGGTGCAGATTTTACTATCGGGGTGTTGGTACATAGAAACTTAGAAGCTTAGAAACTTAGAATCTTAGAAACTTCCGTGAAGCTTCCGCGAGGCCTTGGAGGATCTGAAAGGGAGATGTTATGGTGTTATGTATAATCCCACCTTACATTACCTTACCTTACCTTACCTTACCTTACCGCAAGCCATACATTACCTCAAGCCATACATACATACATAGTATCCACATTGGCGTCCTCAACATCTTCCTGGTGTACATATCGAAGAGGATTTAGTACTCGTTAACATCCCCAGCATCCTTAACATCCTTAGCATCCTTAGTCCCCAGTATCCTTAGTCCCCAGTATCCCCAGTATCCCTAGTATAGTTAGCACTCCCGTCGTCCGCTATTGTTCGCGCTGAATTGGAATGGAAGGGAATTGTGGGGTATGTAGGTAGGTATGTAGATTTTTGATGTACATACAGTATCATTTATATGCGTGCTTGTATTGACTATATGGTATGTTATGTTATGTATGTATGTATGTATTGTATGTGTGTATGTAATGTTATGTATGTATGTTATGTATGTATGTGATGTATGTATGTGATGTCTATCTATCTACCATATCTACCATATCTACCATATCTACCATATCTACCATATCTACCTTACACCATACATAGCATAGCATAGCAGGCAGCTACAGTCGCACCTTCGCACCTTCGCACCTTCGCATCGCCACACCTTCGCACGGATACAACGTGCCGCGGAGATATGGAGATATGGAGATCGGATTTCTTCGGTTTCGGGTTGGGGGTTTAGGTTGGGGGTTTAGGTTCGTCTATGTATGTATGTAATATATGTATGTATAGTGCAAGAAGAAAGGAAGGAAGGAAAGAAAAGAAGGAAGGAAGGAAGGAATAGAAGGAAAGGAAAGGGAAGGAAAAGAAGGAAAGGGTAGCTTGAGCCTAGAACCTAGAGCTTGAGCTTGCAACCTAGAGGGTTCTGGTATGGTATGGTATGGTATGGGATGTAAAGTTTAGGACGTAGGTGTAGTAAGTGGGTGGAGTAGGAAGCTCAGATAGTTTAGAAGCTCAGGCAGCTCAGACAACCCAGGTACACAGGGTGAAATCGGAGGAAAATAGTTGATGGTGATTAGATCAAAACGACAGATGGGACAAGACGGGACAAGACAGATAGGGCAGGGTGATAGACAGGACAAGACACGACAAGACAGGACAAGACGGGATCAGATCCATGGGAGGGATTTACAGCTGCTGCTGGTGGTGGTGGTGGTGTCGAAATAATTATCCACAGTCACGCAAGATTCCATCGGGGGAGGGGGGGGGGTGAGGAGTTACTATGTTACCATATGACAATAGTTTATGCATATTTACTTTATGACTGGGTATAGGTATAGGCATAGGTATAGGTATAGGCATAGGCATAGGTATAGGCATAGGGATAGGGATAGGGATAGGTATAGCTATAGGGATATGTATAGGGATATGTAGTACCAGGAACAAGGGACAAGGAACAAAAAAAACAGAAATATTTTGTTGACTGTTCTGTTCTGTTGTTGTCAACGTGACGTTGTTTTTGTCACAAGTTCAGGCATAGCTACCTCTTTCCAGCACGCAAGGTTACGAGGTTTCGAGGTTTCGAGGTTTCGAGGTTGTGGCGACCTGAAGATTGAAGATTGAAGACTGAAGTAAGGCTGGCTGGCTGGCTGGCTGGAGCTATCAGCAATAGCAAGCAATAGCAAGCAACAAGCAAGCAATAGCAAGCTTGAGCTCCTAAGTTCCTAGGTTCCTAGGTTCCTCGGTTCCATTTCCCTAGGTTCCATTTCCCTAGGTTCCTAGGACCTCCGGGTTCCCTTTACCAATGTAGGACCTCCGGGATCTCATAGCCACGACAACAAAGTGCAGTGCAGTGCAAGGGAAGAAAAGACAGGAAAGCAAGACAGGAAGACAGGAAGACAGGAAGAAAGACAGGAAGAAAGACAGGAAGAAAGCCATTTTCACATGCACTTGACTTTAGGACCTCAGCTATGCGCCGCCACAAAAGGATAAAATCACCACAGTAGGAGTAGGGGTAAGAGGTGCTTGTAGTTGTATTCATTTCATACTCATACTCATACTCATATTCATATTCATATTCATATTCATATTCATATTCACATCCACACTCACAGCGCGATAATAGTAGAGAACAGAACAGATAATCTTCAAGCGTATCAATACTCTAATAATTATAAACTATGACTACCACCACCCTTGTCATTCATCCTCTCCGTGATTTTCACCATCCCCTCCCACCCCCCGCCCCCCCCCTTCCCAATATCTCTTTCTCTTTGACATAAAAAAATACCGGCGCCATAGCCTATTGTGCCTTATAACAAAATCTATCATGATAAAAAAGAATACCAAGAAAATGAGTTGAGTGATAACGCCTAAACAATCCATCCCGCAAACAGATAAAAGAAAAAAAAAAAAAAAGTGAAATCCCTCTATAAAACTTGCACGCCCAAAAAAAAAAAAGGAAAAAGGAAAAAAGAAAAACAGAAAAAAACAAAATCCCCGCTATGAAAAAAAAAATAACCCAAAAGACCAAGTACCGAATGATGATTGATAAAAAACACCGTGACTTTTCAAAACACAAACCCAGACTTTCGCGCCAAGCTCTATTGCATATCCCCTTTCAAGCTTTCTTACAAGCGGTCGGCGAGATCGCCTCCTGCTACACTGTTGTTGCTGCTTCCACTTCCACTTCCCAACCCACTCGGTACAGAGTTCAAGAGATCGTGAACTGCAACCCGAGGAACTGAAGGAATCGGTAGCTTCCTACTCGCTTCAGGTTTGTTGATAATATCCCCTAAACTAATACCATGGCTACCCTGCTGAGGTTGATGTGTCGGCTGGTAAGGATTGCTGATTTCCATAGGAGCCAAAGGAGGAGCCATAGCTCTAAGCGACAAATGGCGAATGGGAGTAAGCTGCATGGAGAAATCGAAATCCCGATGAGGAGCCAAGCGAGGAGAATGAGCAGGGGTTGCAAGCGGTGTGCATTCTGGGGTTGGTGAACAGGAGTCGTTGGAAAAGGTTGGTGATGAAGGTGCGGTTGAGACGGGAGATGAAGGACGAGACTTCTTTACGCTGCGGTGACAGGTGTAGGGGTCTTCTTCTTCGTGAGAGTGGGATCGGCTCATAGGTTGTCCGCCACGGCTGAGAGGTGGAAGCTGAGGCTTGGGGTACCAGTGACGCTCACGCTCGAGTTGCTGGCTGGCGGTTTGTGCAAGGACTCCAAGGTCGAGTTGCTGGTGGCCTCCATGTGTCAAAGCTGGGCTGCTCAAGGCACGACCAAAGGGAGACAAGGAGCTATGTTTAGCGGGGGTATGCATAGGGTGGAAGCTATGAGGAGGCGAAGTGTTTGGTGAAGCAACATGAGA